AGGACTGAACACTTTCTACAAGTATCTTAAAACACACGTGTATCACAACGTTTTCCACCGGAGGACTGAACACTTTCTACAAGTATCTTAAAACACACGTGTATCACAACGTTTTCCACCGGGGGACTGAACACTTTCTACTTGTATCTTAACAGACGTGTATCACAACGTTTTCTTTGCAGCGAGTTCATAAGAAAGTTTGCAAGACCGAGCCTTGTTTTTGAAAGTTTTTACTTTATTTACAGCAACGAGTTACTTTGTTTATACGAAGAATGTTTATCTTTTTGTTATCTCTATATCACTATAAGTGTTAATACACATATATTTATATCATACATATAATATAATTAAAACACACACACACACACATATATAATATGATATTTATGTTATATGTATATATATGTGTGTGTGTGTTTTATTTTCAGGTTGAGCTTTATGCTTGAATTCGGCATTTCTTTAAATTGGTATATTTATCTTTACTTGACAAACAGCACCTTTTTTTTATTTCTCTTATTAACCAACGATCTGTTGTAAAAATAGCACACCTTGGGTGCTCTTATTTAACAGTAAGAAATAAATGAACAAAATACTTCTTTGTTTTAGAACAAAGATATGAGAATTATATATATTATAACTTTTTTTTATGAACATTAGTCTCTCAAATGTCTTGTCAGTGAAGCGGTAGTGATCAGGTCTGAGGGTTTTGCCTCCGATGCTAAACAAACGCTCAACGGGGCAGAGAATCCTGGAATATTCAGGTAGCGTTTGGCAAGTAAACATAAGGTAGGAAAGTTTTTTTTTCACGGATCTTCCAATAATCTAGAGGGTTGCTTTCTTCAGGAATGTAAAAACCATCGAGGTAGCTGTTGATCGCTGTGTCCTCTGAAGATGAGATTGGTGGTCTCTTGGAGGCAGCAAAGAATCTAAAGAGCTTACTTCATTTGCGAGGGGGGGGGGGGAGAGTACTCTTTTAGTTCCACGGTTGTAGGATCATTTGTTGAGGAATATTTCTTGACTTCTTGCTGCAGCTGGAGCATTAGGTTGGATTCTTAGACCATAGGTCTAGTGACTCACCAGTCAAGTTTATATCTGGGATCCAATGTCGCAGAAGACACTTCGTTGCTCATCCGGGCGTGAACAAACTTCTTAATTGTAGAGACAAGATTGAAATTATATCTAGACTACATGCTGCCAACCTCAGTCATCAGCTCGTAAACACACGGCACTACATAACTGGAAGTAACAATGCTCTGACCCTGGGTGAAATCTGTTGCCTCTTCAAAAGGTGTCAGTATTGTCACCAAATCTACAAGCACAGTTCGATCATGAAAAGTACATTTCGATGAACCAGTATCTAGATTATCCAACTTCTCCTGGGGAATCTTCAATAAAGACTTAATCATCTTAATTTCTGAGTTCCATCGTGTTGGTGTTACCGGCTGAACTCTGGCCTTTCCAAGTAGGTCAGTTGCTTGCGTTGATCTTTGAATGTAGGACACGATGGCTGATGCTTTGGAAATTAATTTCAGCAGTGGTCCAGCTTTCTTCACGCTATCCTGACCACAAGCTGTAGCGTGTGGGAAAACCAGAGGCCATGTTCAGGAAGAATTGGGTAAATTGTCTGCTGATTTAGATTCATCCTAAAGTTCATCTTCTGAGTCACTATCTGTAGGTGAGTTATCACCATCTTTCACACTAGGTAGTGTTTGCGGTTCAAACCCAGGCAAGCAGAAAGCCTTGATCATGTTGGATGCGTTATCATATATCACATATGACACCTTGTTATTGATATTAAAGAGATGTAATATTTCATCATATTGAGTTGCAATGTTATCAGATGTGTGCCGTCCCTTGAAACGCCGACATGCTAGCATGATTGTTTGCATTTTCCAGTCAAGTATAAATTGATCAGTTACTTCAAGAAGCTGTGCGTTTGTCTGCTACTCCAGATATTCACTGTGAAATCAATTTTATAAGGTAATATTAAACAAAATTCTGAAATTTTCCCTAATGTGAGAAATGTGACTTTTTTCTCTAGGCATCCCCTCTTCTCTAATTTATTTATCACCCCTCCAAGAAGTATGAAATTAAATGTAAATTATTTATTATAATATTGTCATCACTCAGGCAAAGCATAACTTTCACAGCCTTCAATTTTGTTTGGTTACATAGCCATCAAATACAAAATCAGACCCTTTTTTCCACACCCACCTGTCACATCCTCTCTTTCAGGATTTGTCAATAGTTATCCCTGACGTTCAGTACTATATTATTTATATCCAATAGAAAAACTAAGATTTTTTTCTATGCAATGACGTATCACATTACTTTGTTTTCTCTACAGAAAAGTGTTAAGTTCACTTTCAGTACAAACTTCGTTCCCACGGGAAAGTTTCTTGTGGGAACAAAGTTTGTTCTGAAAGAAAAATTAACGTGCTGCGGATGTAGTAATGACAAACTAGAAATGTGATGAGTACAAAAATTGACATTTACGAGAGAATACAAATACTATGCTATTGAATTCGAATACAAGTACGAATACCGAATACCCCATGTCTAGTGTGTATAGATGTTGATTTGTTTTTACATAGTTGTTTACTGTATTGAAAAAAAATTGTTATTCAGATTAAGTTCATTAGGTGTTTTTAATGTTTATTGTAGTTGTTCTTTGAAAGCGTGTGCTTTCTGTTAATTGGTGTATGCCAGTTTGCTGTTGTGTTTTAATGTTGGATCGGTGTGGGTATTTGATTTGTTTTCATTAGTGAGCCTTTTTAAATCTGTCTAGAAATATTGAGGATCGGGTTTTGTGTTTAGTTGTGTAGAGTAATTGTCTCAGTTTTGTTATTTTAGTTTCTTTATTTCATTTCTTATGTAACTTCTGAACAGCCAGTCACAATGAAAGCTATCAGCACGTGACTGTACTCTGTTGTAGTTCATTTCCATATAACAGAGGGGTAGAGATCCCATATGGATTAGAGACCCATTTTCAGTGTTTTCATAATTATTTCCAATACTATATAACCTGTATTTTGCAAAACCATGAATAAAATATAAGCAGACCCATCCAATTACTCACATTGTACAGAAGGATTTACCAAGCAATATAATTTTCGTTTTTATCTTCATGAGCGTATTTGTAATTATTATTATTACCATTTTCTTACAGAGTTTAAATCATAGTTACTGACTATGATCATGTTTGTAGTTA